GGTGGTTTGGTGTCGGATAAAGGAATGGGTGGCAGGGTGTGTTTTTTTTTGGGTGGGAGGGGACAATGGAGGACAGGGGCGCCTCCACCATGGTCCTCCTGTGTGTTTTTATGGGGGGTGGCGGGCGACGGAAGCATGCCAGGGTCTTTCGACCTCCACCATGGTCCTCCTGCGCGCCCACACGCGTTGTTGGCCATACGACGGATCACCAGAAGCCTTCAGGAAAAAAATGGTCCATGTACGATCGGCCAGGGGGCGGGCTGTCGTGGACGGCGTGGCGTATACACGGTGTGTGGCGTTGGCGCACCGCGTTGAAAAGGAGATTCCGGGCCGCAGTCCGTACGACAGTACTCCATTGTCCACGTTTCCGACGGTGTCGTCTGATCACTGATTCGTTGCCGCAAGCCAGCACTTCCCGCCCTTTGCGCCTCCACTCTCGAGCTTTGTGCACCGCGTGCAGTCTGTGTTAACGGAGGTGTGCGTCCCGAGGCAACTTCCCGCGGCGACGGGGCAGGGCCAGCCACGTCAGGCACTTCCACTGCAACAGCTTGGGGCTTCAGGGGGGGGAAAGCACAGCCCGCGCAAAAGGGCGATGCAACGGCGATCGGCACTCGGACGGCGGCGGCGGATCACAGTGGTAGAACCGGAGTCGCCGAAGGTGCGGGCGAGGAGAGGGTAGAAGACGTCCGCCACGACGAGGGAAGAAGAGACGGAAAGCGGGAGGGCGACGACGACGACCGTCCACTTGTGACGAGGTTGAAGGGAGCCGCAAAGGAGGATGGTCTGCAGGAAAGATCCAAGTTGTGGGTTGATTGCGACTCTTTCTGAGGTCAGGGACCGGGGAAACCCTTGAGGGAGGCGGTTGGCCAGTGCGCGGACTACTTCATCGCAATCGCCAACGGAGATGCGGGAGTTGAACCGCCTGCGATGCTCATACTGCCGCCGAACGACGTGCCGCGCTTCAAGATCGAGGACCCTGCGCAGCGTGAACCGGCTCTGCGCAGAGCGCGCAACGTCGAGAAACTGGTGCTGCGCGTCATCCACCGCTGGATCTTCAAATCGGCCTCGCAGTTGGCTGGATTCGCTCGTGCAGAGTCGTACATCAGTGTCGACATTGCCACAGACGTCGCACGAGCAGTTTGGCAGGGGCAGGAATGGTCGAATGTGGTGTCCCCTGCACTCGCGTACCACACTCTGGCGCTGAAGATGGACGTGCCTCTGTGGTTCGTGGGGGTGAAGATTGTGGATCGGCCCGAGGACGACGACATGGCGGCGCGGCAGGAGGCGACAGTTCTTCGCATCGCGGAGTGCTGGACAGACGCACTGTGGTGTGGACAATGGGCGGACGGCGGGCGCGTGAAACAGGAGAGGTTGTTTAGGCTTGCAGACTGTCTTCGAGCGTTGTTGAGCGCATGCATGTGGATCATGCGCATGGGTGGTGACGACGACCGTTCGCACTACGAGGCGTGCCTTTACTCGTCCATGGTCGCCAAACCGACAATGATAGCGGCGGGGTCGTACATCTTCAACTGGCGGCGACACATCGTCGACAGCGCGAACCTCGTCTTGGATCGTATAGGGAAGGCTCACCTCACGCTGGGAGAATACCCGCACTGCATTCCGGAATGGTGTGACTGCGGGTTGGTGTTCGGCCACAACGCGGCCCTGAAGAACG